AAATCTATTTTATTTTTTTCGCTTTAACATCCTGTATCTCAGTAAGGAGCAGACTAAGACCCATTATTGTTAATGAAAATATTATTATTTTGGCCTCCTGAACGTACATTTACAATTTGGCCCATTACTTATGAATCACCCTGTATATCCAGGGAATTTTCCCTTGAAAATAAATACCCGGGTATTTAACAACACTAACCATGTTACTTGTACAATGGTTTTAAAAAACTCATTGATATCTCTTGAAAGAAAACAAAAACTTCTAGGTATCAATAATCCCTATTAAAAGCACCCTATTTTCGTATAAACAATTTGAATATGTAATAAAAACCGCAACATTCCATTTATAATAGCGATTTTGTATTTCCAGTGGATTGGAAGTATCTTGAAAATATCTTAGATCAAAAGATATGGATGAACATCGCATATAAACAAAATTTTAGAGGCTTAAGTGTAATATACCAAAAGGAAAAGGATGTTGCTAACTTTTTGGCTTTTTACACTGTATAATCTTAGACACCATGTTTTTTATAAAAATTAAGATTTCTTAAAATATTTAGCGTATTAGATAGTTGTTTATAACAGGAACTAAAATTAGGAAGATTCAATAGTATCACAAAAAATTCCAAATTAAACCACCCCCCTTAATTAATAACTTATTAAAAAAATAATCATTGGTTATTTTTCTTGGACTAGAATAAAACTTATCTCTTAAACAGACGTAGGAGATTTCAATTTTCCCTTAATATCAGTATTAACATCTTGCATTAATAAATCCCAATCACTACCACTTAAAGATTTAGCGATTAACCTATCCCATTGTTCTGGCGAAGAAGGCATTTCGGTAAAAGTCGTTTTCGGAGCTGGAGTATTAACATTTTCCATTTGTGCGAAAATTTGTGCAGTTTTCGCGCGAATCGCTTCTTGTTTAATAATAATTTCGTTGGTTACGAAAGCTTCGCGACGAATTTGCTCACTAAGTTCTTTTGGAACATCCGGAATTAACCATTTTACTAATATAATCACGAAAGCGACCACATTTTCAAAAACGACGACAAAAGCGAGACGTGCTGCTAAAATGTGCCAAAAAGTCCACGTTGTTTCGTAATTTCGAGATATTTCCGGTGATTCACGATAATCTGGATATCTATAAAGTAATTATTATTATTTTTAAGACTAAATAATAAAAAAAGATAATTACCTGCATATCGAATAATTTTTTTCGGATTTTTTTGGATATGAAGCAACTTGGAAATCGGAAGTGTTGAAATATGATAAAGAAAAATTTAAGTAACCATTAAGTGATTGATCAGAACTAACTGTTGCCATATAAACTAATCGAGGGATGAAATTTGATGTAAAAGCTATTATAAAACCCTATTAAAAAATAAATTAATAAAAATATTATAAAAAATATATTAATTTACATTTGTAACCACGGAAAGCTTCCCAATTGAATCTAAAATATGGTACCAAACGCCAATATTTCGAACTCTTTGAGTAACAGGTCTTCGATAAAACGATAATAATTTGCGCGCATCAAGTCTCATCTCTAAAATATTATTTAATAACGCGAAAAACGGCGCTAAAGGAAACGCGGCGACGAATATGGTCAAAAAACCATATTGCAAAACTAAAAATTAAATTAAACTTTATTTTACATTATTTTTATTATTTAATTATTACCCATTTCTAAATATTCCGGAAATAAACTTCTTGGCCCCCACTCGACCAATTTAAAATCTTTAATCCACTGCGGTCTCGCCTTTTTTTGAGATCCTTGACTCACTTTTATCCCGGTTTTTACTTTTAAAGTATTTAACCATTTATAAAATAATGGAAACAACATTTCTAAAGCTGTATTCATCGCTTGTTTTCCAACCATGATTATCGCTAATTGAATACATAGTTCTAAAAGACAACCTCCTGGTCCACACTAAAAATATTAATAAAATAAATGTTTTAAATACTTTACTAAAAAGTTTACATATAAAACACAAAAAGCACCTGTAAAGTATTAACGGTACCAATTAAAGCGAGGACTCGTCGAACGTAAATAATTAAGCATAATAACTTAAAACTTTTACAATGCATAGCCATAGCCTTTAACTGCGTAACAAAATTAAAATATTAAGAAAAAAATGTTTGTTGTTGGGCTCACCTCTTCTTGGCGATATCCTAAAATACGATTATAATTTTTAGGAGATCCAATAAATTTCCCTTTGAAAAAAGCTATATAAAAAATTGAAGCGTAATAATTCACGAATTGTAATAAATAAATCTTGAGAGTTAATGAATCATCAAATTCCGTTTGTGTTCGATGTAATTCTAATTCGGTTAAGTATTGAGCGAGAAAATTATAAACCTAAAATAAAAAATTAAATTGTAGCTAACCCAAAACTTTAATTTGCAATCTTGATATATGTATAGGCAAATAAAACAGTTATTAGACAAACGTTAATATTAATTTAACATTAACGAAATATTTTTTGTTATTTATAGTAATTAAAGTAGCTTTTTAACACTTAATTCTTCTTTTCTTGGAATTTTTCCCACGTTTCCCAACATGGAATATCACATCCCTAACGGGTAAATAAGTGGAAATAGTGGAGGAGGTGGAGAGTTATAAAGAACTGTTTTTTAAGAAAAAGGGGAACGGAACAAAATATTTAGGCAAGGGATATACGCTAAGATTCTCAGGGACGAAGCACTAAAAATGATGAAGGATGGGAATTCATAAACTAAAGAATCATAACATTAGAGCTACAAAATAACATATGAAGCACAGGAACTATGTCACAAAGGTATAATAGACTACAAATTATTCCAAGAGTCCAAGAGCTATGCAGTTGACGATATCAAAGTGATCAGAAGACCAGAACTCAGTACCAAACATAAATTACTACAAAAGATTAGAGTAGAATTTACACAAGGATAAACTTGGAAATTCTAAATAACATGGAAATAAAACAAAAATATGAGGATATACTTACAAGGAAATCAATGGACTTTTGAGGAAACATGGAAACGATTTAAGGAAACAATCTTGGAAGTGGCGGAGGAAACATGTAGCATAAAGAAACAAACCAAATGGTAGAACGAGGTCGTAAAAAGAAAAGTCAAAGAAAAGAAAGAAGCCTGAAAAAATATGTACAGGGCGGGCAAATTTGGGTGTTATTATAGGTTATCTCAGAAACTATAAGAGATACGAAAAAAGTAGGTGCCATGTCCCGGTCTCTTTTTTCGAGACTAACCCAATCCAGCAAACACCAAACCTCTATCTTCTTTTGTTTTTAAGTTATAGCCAAAAAGTCAAATTTTCGTGATTTTAAAAAATGCTCATATTTCGTTTATTTTTGAAATTAGAGAAATGGGGTTGATACGTTCTTAAGACACTTTTTCAAGTAGATTACAGCCGTTGAAAAATTTAAAAAATATTTGATGATTTTTGAGATACAACACAAAGTTGTATTTTTTTAAAATACAAACTATAGTAGATTATGGTGTTCCTGAAAAGAGCATATGTTTAGCTATCCAATGATGTATTGCACGCATGGTGTATTTGGGGAAAATAAGCGTTATTTTTTAAGTCTAAAATATTAAAGAATAATATTCAAAATTTTAATTATAGTAGACGAGGTAAACGTTAAATGTCACTTAGTTACTATAGTAACGTGAGTTTACTGATCATTTCATTTAATTTCATTCATGAAATTTTCGAAACGAGTTTCCCGCTTAAAAATTTCTCATTATCTTTAACTACATAAAGCGATAAAATTAAAAAATTATTCTTTGAAAATGATAGATAAGGCTCTATATCCCATATAAACATCGTTTCAATGGAAAGTTCGCTGCCCAGTTTATGATCCCTAATCTTCCTCTATCTCACCCAATTTCAAAAGAAAATGTTGCTATTATCAACAAACTTCTAAATCTCATGGTTGGGGAAAACTGGGAAGATACTACCGAAGATTTCATTCATTGATACCCAACTGTTCTAACCTTACAACCAGTAAGTTTAGTAGAAGAAGATGACACACAGCCTGTGCCTTTAGTTCCTGAAGTTGTTGTTCATATTTAATTATTCATTAATTAATACGTTTCTTGTATTTTTAATAAACAAACTTTATCTACAAATCATTTTTTATTGGTGAACAAAGTCAAGAATAAGACACTGAGAAATTTAAATCAACTATTCAAAGTTTTTATTCGTTGGTACAAAACCAACTTTATCCTGCATAATGGTACAAGACCAACTTTCTGTCATGTTCGTGCAAAACCATATAGCAATTAGGTAGTAATTACTGTCCGAACTCGCCTACTATAATCAAAATTTTGAACTTTAGCGCTTACTATTTTGGAATTGAAAATTAACGCTTATTTTCCGCAAATACAGCATACATGCGATACATCATTGGAAAGCTAAAAATATGCTCTTTTCATTAACATCATTTATTTATTTTATTTATTTTTTTATTTATTTATTTGTTTGGGATGCCAACAGGGAAACCCCCAATAGCGGCATCCACTAGCAATAACAAAAAAACATTATTAAACGACCATTCGTTACTAATACTAATTCTGACAGCAATCCACAAAAAATATACATTTAATAACAATCCATTAAATTACTCGTAATATCAATATTAGGACCATGCCACAACCATGCCCCGCAAAAATCGTTTAAAGGACGCAATAGATATATTAAAAATGTCCACTTGACAGTGAGAGTCGTGCGTATTCATTATCCGGACTAAAGGAGAGTTAAGATGAATATTTGAAGATGAGCGACCAATCCTAAACAATAATCCTCCACGCGTTTGATAAGGAGGGACATAAAAACATAATTCACCCACCAAATCTGAAGCATCCAAGAAGTTGTTGACCAATTTATACAAAAAAAATAAATCAGAGCTCAGTCTCCGCTGCCGCAGTGTATGGAATCCTAGTACTCTACATCGTTGAAGGTAATCACAGTAGGGTAAAAACGTTTTGTGCGCTAAGTACCTTACAAAAGCCATGTTGTTCCGTGATCAGATAGGGTTCCAAAAAGTAAAATAGTTGGGAATATACGATTCTTTCAAATACCTTGGATATCAATGACAAAATAGATATAGGTCGGTAATTTGATACGTCACAGCGGTCGCCAGACTTAAAAATCGGCAGCACAAACCCCCTCTTCCACTGAACTGGGAAAGAGCCAGTTTCCAAAGAAAGAGAGAAGATTAAGAATACAGGTCTAGCGAGACCACTCGCGCAGCTTTTAATGAAATAACCAGGTAAATCATCTGGACCGGGTCCAGCGTTTGGGTCAACCTTATCAAGAGCGCGTAATACGTCCTCTTCACCAAACCACGGCCGTATACCCCCAGAACCAACTTTAGAGAAATTAGAAATATTACTGCGAATGAAAACCGCACCGAACTGACGTGCGAATAGAGAACAAATATCTTGTACATTATCTGCAAAATCGTTACCAAGTTTCATTACGGTAGGGATACCCGCGCATCCACCTCTTCTGTTTTTTACAAAAGACCACAAACGATCTGAGCATTCCACCATGCCAGGCTGCATTGACTGCAAGTAATTGTCAAAATCCGATTTAATCAACATTTTGGAACGCTTACGTAGGATCGAAAAGGATAAATAATCATGGTAATTTTGAAAACTTTTCCACTTACGATGAAACTTAAGCTTTTCACGGACGACTCTCACCGTGGACGCAGAATACCACGAAGGAAAACGGCGCCTCGACACCGAACGGTTCGGGACATGAGTGTTGACAAGGTCGCAGACAATACTATAAAAAGCATCAACAACACCCTCAACCTGTAACCCAGCAAAGCGCTCCGACCAATCCACCGCGCAAACGGCATTATTAAGCGTTACATAATCAGCTTTTTTGTAAAAATATTTAACAGTAGGACCATCCTGAATAACATTTAATCGAACATTAACGACAGAAAATTCGACCGCCGGGTGGTGCCGATCCGCATCAACAAGTGGATCTCGGCAAGATACAACTTCACGCACAGAATCACTGCTACATAAGACCAAGTGAAGAATTCTCAAATTATCGTTAAGTACGTTGTCGAATTGAATTAAATTACAATAAACAAAAGTTTCTAAAAATTGCCGAGAGCGCGGATCGACACCACCAAACGGCTCAAGAATTCCAGATTCAGCCTGCCGCCACGAGATTGAGGGTAAGTTAAAATCGCCGGTAATTACAATAGTAGTTGACTCAGAGATGGAGTCTCGTAATGAGGCCAATTTTTGTAAAAACATAACTAGGGGATCAATTTCACCAGGAGGCAGATATACACAGCACACGAGAAAACGACCAATCGCGCACTTAACATCCACCCACAAATCTTCAGTCTCCGAGCACAATTCAGGGACCAGAGATGCCTGAAAATTATCTCTCACACCGATAAGAACACCCCCTCCTCCATCAATCTTCACAGATGCCGATGAGCTTCTATCGCGGCGGAAAATGTTATAACCAGAGCAAAAAAATTCCGCGTCCGAGATCGAAGAGTTTAAGTAGGCCTCCGTGAGGCATACAATATCATGACCAAGGGTCGACGAATTAATGAGAGAAGCGGTGGTCTTAGTTCGCAAACCATTAACATTTTGATAATACACTGAGATAGCCATGATGGAACAAAAAAAAATAAAAGATAATGTAATGGACAAGCCGACTACAGTTTGGTCAGGTCACTCAAGCAACGGATAACCATCACGCGAGATCTCTCAGATTTCCGCACACGAACGACGTCATCCCTAAACCAAACAAATTTATATTGCTTGTCCACAGTAACGGCTTTAGCCTCTCTAAGAAGTCGGGCATTTTCCGCCGTTAGGTGTTCATTGATGAATATTTTATTTCCAAGACTGGGCAACTTAATACCAGGGGCCCCAGTCGCGCCATCCGGCGACTGATACTTGATCATAATCAAGTATCTCAAAAATCATCAAATATTTTTAAAATTTTTCAACGGCAGTATATTCTACTTAAAAAAGTGTCTTAAGAACGTATCAACCCCATTTCTCTAATTTCAAAAATAAACAAAATATGAGCATTTTTTGAAATCACGAAAATTTGACTTTTTGGCTATAACTTAAAAACGAAAGAAGATAGAGGTTTGGTGTTTGCGGGATTGGGTTAGTCTCGAAAAAAGAGACCGGGACATGGCATCTACTTTTTTCGTATCTTTTATTGTTTCTGAGATAGCCCATAATAACACCCAAATTTGCCCACCCTGTACAAAACAGAACGCAGGAAAACAGAACAAATTACCAACTACAACGACAACCAGAAGGAATTCTGGAATTCGATGAAAAGACACAAAAATACTCCGT